TCTGTCTGGAAGTACAGACTTCAAACTTATGCATCCCTCCTACAACACCTGATTCAAAGGTTAAATTACCTTCTTGGCTTGTCAGTTAGTTTTAAAAAGGCCATTAAGCATTCCTTTGATTCAATTTGCAATGTTTGGGAATCATCCAAACATTGCAAGGTCGTGGCACATGAGGACAGAAGTTGCAGACGCGTGCCATGTCCCATCATGCTCTAAGCCAGCTGACCAAATATTTTTGATTCTCCCCAAAACCTCCTCCAAAACCAGAGGGGACAGTCTTATCAGTTGTTGTTCAAAGTTGTGGCAAAAGCTCCTGATGAGTGTTAGGCAGGCTCCACGTCTTACTGTTTTTAATTCCCATTTAACCCTATTTTACTATTACACTGTCTTACTTGCTTGTGATTTTATCGCAATCCTGTTATTATTATTATTTTTTTTTTTGCTTTACTCTAGCTTTATTTGCATGTTGCTTTATTGTACAGTACTTTGGTCAGCTGCAATTATTGTTTTTAAATATCCTTAATAAAAGTCCCAACTGTGTGTGCAAGTATGCTCAATTTCTTTCTGTCTGTCTATCAGAACACGTCAGGAAATGATGTTATGCTCATTCATTTTGCTACTTCCCGAATCATTTCCCCTCAAACTCCTTCCTGGTTTTCTCTTAAGCACAAACCACAGACATGATCAGGAGCTTTCCCTGGCAAACAATACTAATTACAGATTTTTATTTGTAGTTCTGCCCTGTAATAATGGCGTCTATTGGTGTGTGTGTGTGTGTGTGTGTGTGTGTGTGTGTGTGTGTGTGTGTGTGTGTGTGTGAGTGAGTGAGTGAGTGAGTGAGTGAGAGAGAGAGAGAGAGAAAGAGAGATAAAGCAAATGAGAGAAATAGTCACAAAAGGAAAAACGTGTTAAGTCTCTTTTTTGATATTAAGCCTTAGTTCACCATACACAAACACAGACATAAAGCCCAACTGGGAATAAACTTAGGTCTGAAGCACTGTTCTTATGCAGTGTCTTTGTACTGAGCTTACAGCAGATGAAAAAGTAATATCACCAGTCTTGTGGTGTTTTCAAAGCCAGATGTAGACTAGCAGCTGTAATATACAATGCCCCATGTGAGCTACCTGATGTTTTCCTGTTCTGAGGACACAGCAAAGTTCAATGGGTATAGCATGTAATGGAGGACACTAGGTTTTAAAGTTTACATTGGCCCAATAAAACAAATTTGTACAATGCAATTCTGATAATAAAGTTAAAATGATTTATCTGTGTTTTCTTTTTGTTGTTGCAGTTATTCTTATGAGACTAATACCGCTGTGACAGGAAATGAAACATGTACAACATAAGATGATTGATTTTAATATTGTCAACCTATGATAACTCTACAAGGACAGTTCTGGTCTTAAAGGAACAGGGATGCTAATCAGAGCATCATCAATCTCTATGAAACATTATCTTGTGCATAATGTCAAGTATTTCTTGTAGCCAGGTAAATCTAGAGTCTCAATATCCATCAGTATTTACACTATGAGAAAAAAAAAAAGTACTTTCTACAACACTTTGCAAAAACACAAACACACTGGATCTCCATTGTCTTTTTTGTTGAAGAAATCTTGTATGAATCCAAACCTAGTATAACTTGCATCTCCTGCAAATACCTGCCCACCAATTCCAGTGACAGCTTAAGTAATCTTGATGAATCTTCTCCTGCTACATTTCCATTTCATAACTATTGCTCCTGACTCAACTTGAAACAAGCCACAACTTCTTTAATACCAGAGTGAGTTACTGTAGCCACTGATTGAGGCTGAGCCACCAGATGTAGCTACATTCTTTAAAGTGTTCTTCATGAGGATTTCTTCGCATTGTAATAAACTGTAATCATGAGATTTTCCAAAAAAATAAATACATTCATTTACTTCTAGGTAACTGTCACATAACATGAAGTTGATAAATTAGAAGAGCAGTTAAATGCTTTTGTGAAATCAGTTTTTTACCAGAAGGAAACCTTTACGAAGTTGAAGCCATGCCTCCCCCTTAAAGGCCTGGAAAAACTTCTCCATGCTTTCCTAATGTATTGTCAAGACTTCTCTAATGGCCTTTAAGTCTGTCTAGATCAATTCTCTCTGCATTGTTTAAACTCTGTTGAAAATGCAGCGGTACATCTTTTAACTGGCACCAAAACACCATGAAGAAATGACTCCAGACTTGTAATCTAACAACCGGCTTCCTCTTAGCTCCTGAATTTATTTTAAATGCTGCGGTTTTTAAGGCTTTAAGAGATGTACTTCTGTAATACTTAGGTGAAACTCTGCAGGAGAACGGCAGTCCAACAGTCGTTTTTTTCATGGTTGTTTCACAACTTGAATAAAAAACAATATGCTTCTGCAGCTGTCTCAAATCTGTGGAATAGGCTATCTTTCATTGACGCACTATGTAAACAGTACCAACATTTTAAACTTTGCTTAACACCATTTCTTTTATTAGATCATAATATCTAATAAGAATGTATGTGGTTCGACATTTGATTGTTGTTTTCTTCAAATGAAGGGGAAAATGAGGCTGATGACAGCTGACTGAGACAAACGCCTTGGAGAAATCTACAAATAAAGCAGCACAGTGCTGTTTTCCAAAGCAGACCACATTTTCTTTGTTCTTTTTACTGTATCTTAATTTCATGTTTCAACTGATTCTGATTTGGTCAGAATCTGTTGTTCTAGAATTGACTGCGGCATGAATAAATGAGTGAAAGTATTAAAAATGCTTGTAAGGACAGAGGGTTAGAGATGGTTGAGTATTTTGAGGGATTCTGTTTGATGAAGCAAAAATAGTTTATTCCAGACGACTTTTATTCTGTGGTTCCATCTTAACCACGTGATGTTTGTCTTGCTGTTTTTGTGGATGTATTTTGGTTGTGATAAAGAAATAAATTCATTAATACATAAAAGCGATCCCTGCTAATGCTGACAGACATCAAATCAGCTTTTAGAATTTTTTTAAACATTGTGTCCTAAAAACAGTCAATTGATTAATATTATTAAAGTTAAATCAATATGTGTGGTTGGTGACATATCAAAAAGGTAACAGCACAGCAAATGGAAGCTCAGTGAAAGATACACATGTGAAATCTGAGAACTTACTCCGCACACTGATGTGCTGCCTCGATGTACACTTTGTATATTTGCGTGTATCTAATGATCCTCCTGTCGCATTCTCAGTGTCTCCCACACCTCCCCTTCTCATTAGCGGTGACGCCTGAGTGGATTAACCACACACATGTGCACATCTAGCACACACAGACAAACCAGGCACTAATGAAAGTAGAGCCCATCAAAGAGAATCTGCTCGTGTTAAGGCAAGACAAACCATCATAAAACACTAGAAGCCCCTTTGTGGTAGTAGTGTGTTTCTGTGTGTGTGAGTCTTAGAGGCAGGAGCCAGCAAAGAAGATCTACTTTGTTTTACGTATGTTTATGCTTTTAGAATCCTGTGTATATCTACGACATCTGGTTATTGTTTTCAGGATTATATAAACTAGTAATACACTAAAAGAGATTAAACCCTACAAAAGAAGACAAAAATCAGAGACGGAAATGGAAATAAATATGAGAAGAAAACTCACTTAAGAATTGAACACAGACCAAGATATCTGCCTTTCTGATCTAATGTGATTCAATCAAACTGACAGATGGAAGAGCAGACTGAAAGAAGAGTATGGATGAAAATATACAAGTGGCAATCACAGGCCACAGAAATCCAACTGAGGATGTGAGTGTGATCCAATTTAAACAAACGCCAGTGGGAACAGACCTGCTTAGTATATGCCTGTAAAAGTGAAGACAGTTTTTCTTCTCTTCAAATGATTTCAGAAATATCCTGTCCATAAAACTGTTTTTTAAAAACATTTTACTCAAAAGGTTTGTACAACTGCAAACAAAACAATAGATGCTAACTAATAAAAAGTGGTGTAAATTAATAACAATGTTTAGCCAGATGTATCACAATTGTGCCATAAAAGCATAACAAATACTTTCAGAGACCTCCCTGCAACTACAGACTTTGACCATGATGAAAAACAACAACAAAAAGGCTCATTATCAAGAATGGCAGAGAATCTTACAGGTAACATGTAACAAGTAACATGTTTATATGAGAAAAAGAAAATCCCTCTTATTGAAAAAGCATCCCTCAAGGCTCTGTGATAGGCACAACACTTGTAATATTTCATAATGAATGTTCCAGATGCATCTCTCCAGCTTTGTGATGTTTATTGTCATGGAAACACAGTTGACCTAATGTGGTCATTTGCAGGTTGTTTTTGGCAGTCACAATTGTTCCACTGGAAAAAAAAAAACAAAACAAAACAAAAATAGACAATAATAAAAATCCAAGCAGTTATCTCTGCTTTATATCAACATGAGGTACTTAAATTAAACTTGCGCCTTCCTTTCTTTTGAACCATTTAAAATTTTACAGTGTCTAAAATGTATGCTCCATCCTTCTCTGTATGGATTTTGTACTTACATGATTTTAAATATGAAACTTTTTTTCATTTGTTTTACAGTACACAGGTGTTTCTCTCGATGATTAAATTTTAACTCAAGGGTAAAAAACGGCTAAAATGAAAAGGAACATGTTAGTAATCAATCTCAGCGACTCAACACAAGCTAATTCATTTAAACATTTCTTTAAGCATAAACGTTAGATCAGCTGATTCATATAAGGTTCAGTCATATAAGGTTTTTGCTGAATTTGATTGACAGCAGTGAGAGGTATAACACTGTCTGGTACAATGAGGAACATGATATAACATTGTACAGACACTGAACAGGTAGCGTCAAGGCTCTGGTCAGGATTTATTGTCATCTGTTAAGAATGAAGTTCTGATGAATTTTAAGATTATTTGGTTTGATAGAATGACCTATAAATGGAGAAAAATGTAAGTATTTAACTGCAAAGAAAAGTAGAAAATCAACTTACAGAGGACTACATGTTCCTACCTTTCTTGACTTTCTTCGACGGTTTCTTCTTGATGAATTTGGTCATTTCTTGTGCAGGTTCCAGCTCCTCCCCATCACCAGAAACCTCTGCTATTGGCTCAACACCTCCTGTGAGTAAAACATAAACAATAATACTTACATACTATGATATAATAGGTACATGTCTTAATGACATAGCTGAAAGAAGTGGAACATCTTCACAGAAGACAGGCACCACAAGATCTTTGTTTTCTTGTTTTACCAGGTTTTCAGCAGCTCATCAACCTTCTACCAACAAGCTGACGTTGCAAAATCCAAAACATTTAGAAAATCTTTTCAAGTGGGTATATTGTAAAACTAAAATTACACTTAGGCTGCAAATGTTATCCCCTAAGCTGCTAAAATAATTAGGTTGGTAGAAAAAAGTGCCTCAAAGTAAGAAGCAATTTTAAAACAGTTATTTTAATTGTGGGTACATAAGAAAAAAAAAACAAGGTTTTTAAAGGCCTTTTAAAACTTTTCAACGCCTGCTTTAAGATTCACATAGCCTAATCAGTTGTTCTCTAGACAAAACATGTAATTTATCAAAATAAGTAATTTATGTTCCAGACATGAACAAAATTCAGACTGTTTGCTTTCTGATTACACAGACAAAGGAGAAGTTAAAAGTCCTGAGATAAATTTCTTCTCTCCTTGGTTCAGAGCTAAACTTTAATTGGGATGATTCAAGTTGCTATTTACCCTTTGTTTTAATCCAGTCTATTTTTGTTTCAATGTTTTACAATGTGTCTTAACCAGTAGTTGTAAAAGTTTGGGTTTATTTAATGTCATATAAACAGCAATGTCTATATGACGGAAACAACATATAATAACAAATTCGTTTAATTATTTAATAAATAAATAAACATACCAACAATTGACACATAAAAAAGCTTCATGTTTTTTATAAAGTTCCTAGAAGAACTTGATTCAGAACTTGACATCTTCCTTTTTTGTGGATCATTTTTTTCCTTAAAACTGATTTTAAACACTCCTGTTTTCTCTGCACTGTTTGTATATTTCTAAAAGAATACGTAAAGATAACGCAAAGATTAGATCCAATTTCAGAAGAATATAAGCGTAGCTCTGAACAAGTGTTTGGATGGACATGTGGTGTGTGTGTGCGTGCGTGCGTGCGTGCGTGCGTGCGTGCGTGCGTGCGTGTGTGTGTGTGAACTAGGATGTGTGACGTTGTGATTGTGTGATTTTGTGTATGTGTGAGATAAAAATCCCCAGCAGAATCCCCTGGATCAGTCTGGATTTAAGGAGCTCCTGAGGCCGATGAATTGGACGCCTTGTCTCGCCCTCTCTACCCCATCTTACAGTCTCCTCCTCCCCTCATCCCTCTGTCTCCTGCTGCCTCCCATCCTTACTTCTTCTGCTTGTGTCTTTCAACACTTTGAGACTTTTTCTCTACCTGCTTCTCAATCTATACCTCAACTCTCTCGTTCTACTTCGTCATCTATCCTCTTTTATTCTTTTAGCCTGGCTCTTGTGCTTTTCCTCACATTTCTTCAGTCCCTCCTTCTCTCCCCATCTTATCCCACCCTTCCCCTGATTTCCTCTGATCCCTTAGCATTGTGTCCAGTTTCAGGGTATTTTCAGTTAACGTGCACAGCACACACTGTGCCATTGTGTATGTGTGCATTTACGAGACAGAGCGTGCATGTGTGTCTGCCATCAAGTCTACCTTAAGGTGTCTGAGAATGTGTGTGTGTCTCCATCTCCCCCTCTGCGTCTACATTTGTGTGTGTTAAGATTATGGTAAGCCCTCTCTAATATTTATCCTGGTCTTTTTTAAAGCCAATCTTGTTCCCTTTGGTGAGACCACAGCTTGTGGCTTCACACACACACAGCCACACACTCAACGTCAGTTGTTTGAAACGGGATAGGCCTCACTCCTAATTGGGCAGGTGTTTTTCCAGGGCAAGTTGTTTTTTTTTTAACACTGTCGTACAGTTCAATGGTACATATGAGGGTGTCTGTTTTAACCAAGGCTTAACATCAACATCAGGTAAGGAAATTAGTCACCTCTGGAGCAGCTTATGCTGAAAAAAAAATAGTAAAATCACATCGCATATAAGCCTTATCCT